TGGGCTGGTTCTCTGCCTGTCCTGCCCACAAAGCATTGCCTTGTCTCACTCCACACAGTTCTCAGTGGGAATGTCTTTCTAGACTCTTCATGAAGCCTTCCCCAGCTCCAGCCTCCCCAGAATTCTGCAGTCTGAACCCCAGCTTATCATGTACATTTTCCTTCTGCCATTCATTAATCACCTCTGATGTGTTTTCATCATGTCTCGGCCTGATACATAAAATTTAAGAGTATAAGGGTCCTCTCCTGTATGTCTTCAGTACACCCTACCAGTCACGTAATGCTGCAGACATTTCAGCACTTGTTGCTCATTGTCCTGTTTGTGGAAGAGGAAGGGTGTAGAATGAATTGTTAAGAAACTTATGATCTGTGTCCATAGATTTAAATGTAGAATCATAAAATCACTGACAGTCAGGTCATCACACATATGTTGAAATCACCTGTCAAGAACAATGTCAACCATAGAGATGCAAAGATGATGCAAACGTTAGGCTTATATCCTGCTGGAGGAGATGCAGTCATGGAACATGTGGCTCTATTATGTCATAGTTGGTGCTATGCTAGAGGTGAGCACAGGCGATGGGGTGCCAGAGGAAAGGCTGAGAAAGTGCATTTCTGAGGTCTCCTTCATCCCTTCTGCCTCACTTTTGACTTCAGTAAGTACACTTTTCCAAGAATGGAATTCTGTACCACTCTGGGGGTGGCCTCAGGAAAACTACCAGCCTCCCCAAGTTTCAGCTCACTTAGATGAGGAAGGGGGACAATCACTTTCCATTCATAGGGGAAAGATGAGGATTCAATAAGATGATTTGCAGGGGTCTGGTGCATCATGAACACTCAGTAAGTGTTAGCTGTTAGAATATGACTAGAAAATGTTTTTCTGGCTTTATTTCTTTTCTTTTTCCTATTCCTAGAACTTAAGCTCCTTTCCTGTGATGCTACATATGCTGTTCAGCCACAGAAAAATGTCTCCCTGGATACTTGTATCTCATTCATTACCAGGACCCCCGACTGGACAAGGAGAAGATAGGGAGGGAACCAGATTAGATGCCCTGCCCCTTGAGCCTACTTTTCATCATGTCTGCTGCCTTTGCTGGGCTTATTCTTTACCAAGTGTAGAGCTGAGGGGTGAGGATTTCTGTCTGTCCCATTGGGACAAAGGAGGTGAATGAGTTAACATTTACAAAGTGCTTTGAGCTCCTTGGAGAAAAGGCACAATCTGAGTATTCTCATTAGTGCATGAATAATAGATGAGCATAAAGCACTCTGCAAATATGAAGTTCTTTAGCAATGCTAAATAATACTTCCACCAATCTACCCGTGAGGGGAGGGGCCCACTCAAGCTCTGATGGTCCTGGTCTTCACTGTCACTAATGTAGAGTGTGATTTTAGGCAGAATCATTTCACCTCTCTGAGGTTCAGAGAATAGGGGTCAGAATGGGTCATGCTGAAGGTGACTCTTAATTTGCTTCTTTTTTAGTGTTTTCTGTTGGATGGAGAAATGACTACAGCAGAAGTCAAAGCAGTCCTCTGTGGGTGAAAGTGCTGATTTCTCCAAAGCAGGAACAGCTACTGCGTGGAGATTCGAGCAGTGGCTACACCTTCCCCCACCTCCTCTTTAGTGCTACTAACAAGGGTTTGGATTTTCTATGGGGGTAGGTTGAAGAGTCTTGCCCCCATTACACAGTCTGACAGCCTGTCTATGGAGAAAAGACCTCCTAGATGTGAATCCTAGAAAATGTTTTAGTTACCATATCCTTTTTGAAAAAATTGTGGTAGGATACATTTCAGCTTTTTGAAGTGTATCTTTCAGTAGTGTTAATTACATCCACATTATTGTGCTCTGACCTTCAGACCACTTTTCTTCTTGCAAAATGAACACCTCATCCCCATTAAACCACGAATCTCCTCAACACTCCCAGGCCCTCTACTTTCTGTTTGGCTGAATTTGACTCCTTTAGGTCCCTCATAGAAATGGAGTCATATGGTAGCTGTCTTTCTGTGATTGTTTTATTTCACTTAGTGTAATGTTTTTGACGCTCGTTCATGTTGCATCACGTGTACAGATTCCCTTCCTCCAAAGACTGAACAATATTTCATTGACTGTATCCGCCACATCTTGTTTATTAATTCATCTGTTGGTGGGCACAGGTTGTTTCTACCTTTGCTTCCAGCTACTAGGAACAATGCTTCTGTCATCATAAGTGTACAGATATCTCCTTGATGGGGGGATGGATATGAGTAAAATATATTATACATATTGAACCCCCCAATGTGAAACTAAGGAGGAGCACAGTGCAAAGGGAGTAACTGAAGAGAGATTGATCAAAATATGTTATGTGCACGTGCAAATCTGCCAAAATAAAACCCATTAATCTGTATAACCAATAAAAAGAGAATGAGAAGAAAAAGAAAAATCAAATTGCAGTGTAGTTACTGTGGTTGGGTTTGCACTCCAGTCCTGCAGAAAAACAAAAACAAACAAGCCAAAAAAATCTCTTTGAGTTCATGCTTTTAGTTCTTTTGGGTATAGACCCAGAAATGGCATTACTGGATCATGTGACAATCCTATTTTCAGGTTTTTAAGGAAATAACCATATCAATTCGTCTTCCAAAAAATGCAGAATTGAAAGAGAATCTTTGATGACTGCAGATTGCAGAGTTCCCTACACCAAGGGTCCTGCCCCACATTTGTATTTACTGAATTATGATGCTGAAGATAGTGTGCATTTTATCAAGAGAAGTACAGAAGTTTAGAATTTGGGGTTTGGGTGGGATGCTTGGGGCTTGCAATTGAAGGACCTATCCTTTGACTTGGATTTATCTGGGGCCCAGGAGTGCACAGTCTGACAAGCAGGAGTTGTCTTTGGATAGGGCAACTCTAACTGAAGGTATCAAGGTAAAATCTACCTCCCTTAACTTTGCCCACTGGCCTAATGGAGCAGCACAGAACCAGTCCCTGCCTTTTACACATGGCCCTTACGGTGTTTTAAGGCAAATATAAGGTAGCTTCGAGTCGTCTCTCCAATCTGCTTTGTTGTCCTTGCCAGGCACTTCTTACCACCCTTGGCTTTAGATGTAGAGATAGGTATGTGGCACCTTTTCAGAATTCCCAGTATCCCCAACAGAGGTTTGAATGATTTCACCCATGCCAGCTGTGCTTAGCTTACTCAAAATATGGATAGGTCTCACCTGCTTTGCACCCCTGTTCCTTGCTCCTGAAGTCTGCCAGATTTGGGGAAATCACCAGCTAGGAAGAGGATGACATTTCCTACAGAAAATGCATAGGACATGGAGGTCTCCTTCCAAGGACAGATCAGATTAGATGTATCAGCTGAGCTGTGTGTGGCTGCAAGTAACACTTGACTAGCCATGGCATTTAATTAGCGCATGTAACCGGAAGTCTTAGATTTGGTGTGGGGGCTTAGTGATCTAGGAACCAAGCTCTTTCCATGAAACCCTAGGCTTTTGCCTTTTGTTTTAAATCTTAATTGCTTCATACTCACAAGTAGTGGCCTCAGCTCCAAACAGAAAGGCCTCCCATACTCAAAGTTGGAAGGAAATGGAAGTCCACCTCTTTATCTCTTTTTTGAATAGGAAAAAATATTCATCCAAGAGGCTCCTCCAAGCAAGCTTCCCTTTACTTCTCTTACTGATCTGAGTCGCAAGTTCCCACCTAGAACAGTCACTGTCCATTAAGAATGGTTTTACATGCTGAGTGAACCAATTGTACTTGATACTTTGGGGACAGAGATATGTTGCTACCTGTGCAACAGTGGGATTCTGCACCCTCAAGGAAGCAGGGAGGAGGGCTGTGACCAGACAATTGACCATGTCCACCACGGATGTATCACTCAGAGGAAGAATAGAGAATGACCATAGTTTTTATTTATAAACGTGTAATTTATAGAGGCATAGTTCATTAAGGGAATTTTGAACTTCTGTGTTAAACTTACCAAGATAGAAAGACAACATACCGTGGCTATTTCTTAAATATTCCTTCTTCAATATTTCTTTTCTTTTCTTGTTTTTTTTTTTTTTTTTTTTGGTACTGGGGATCAAACTCTGGTCCTTGCGCTTGCAAGGCAGGTGCTGGAACTGCTGATCTAAATCCCCGGCCCTGGATATTTCTTAAATATTCAACCATTCTTGACTTTTTCCCAGCTCTGCTATATAGATAATAGCATATCTGATTAACATTGCATCGTGCACAAATCATCTTCACATATGTTATCCATTGATCTTCATGAAAACTACATGGACTGGGTATTATTATAATTAAAAAAATTATTAGTACATGTTTATAGAACATTATGAATATATTCATTGTGGAGAACTGATACATGCACATAATAAATCTCAATTATTTTTCCCCTTCCTCTCCACTCACCTTTTTGCCAGCATCAGATTCATTTACTTATCTTATAAGTCCTTATAAAGTTAATTATCATGCATAAGGATTAACAGCCAGACTAACAGGCCAAAATATATAAAATGTATAAAACTATTATACTAAATTAAAGTATATTTAGATATATTGTCCATGCTGGATTACCATAACTTTTTCCTCTCTTTTTCTATTGACTCTTTTATTTTGTACTTTATTTATATAATGAGTTTCTAATATAAGAGAAACTATGGGTGTGTCTGATTTACTTCACTTAAAATTATGGTCTTGAGGTGCATTTTCCTACAAATGACTCAAGCTTATCCTTCTTTATGGCAGAGTAATACTCCAGGGTGTATAAGTACTACATATTCTTTATCCATTCGTGTGTTGATGGACATGTAGGATGCTTCCAAGATTTAGCTATTATGAATTGTGCTGCTATAAACATGGATTATGGTATGATGTCCTCGAAGATACCTAAAAGGGGAATAACTAGGACTAATGCTATTTCTTTTTTTTTTTTTTCTTTTTCTTTTTGGTATCAGGGATTGAACTTGGGACACTGTGCTTGGGAGGCAGGGGACGGAACCACTGAGCTAAATCCCTGGTCCAGGAATTTCTATTTTTAGTTTGCATGCGATCCTGCCCAAGGACCATGCTAATCTTCTCTGTATTATTCCAATTTTAGTATATGTGCTGCTGAAGTGTGTGCTCCAGTTTTAGTTTTTAAGGAACCTTCCTACTGACTTCCACAGTGGTTGTACCAGTTTATACTCCCACCAATAATAAAGAAGAGATCTTTTCCCCCACCCCCAGGCTCAACAGTATCTGTTACTGAGTGATTTCTTGATAACAGCCATTCTTCTTGTGGTGAGATAGAATCTCAGTGTTTTAATTTGCATCTCTCCAATGGCCAGTGATGATTTTTTCATGGATTCCTTGGCCATTTATACTTCTTTTTCTGAGAAGTGTCATTTCAGATACCCATTTTTGGATTTTTTAAATTTGGGAAGCCTTAAGTTTTTGAGTTCTTTATATTTTCTAGATATAGTCCTTTGTCCAAGAAGTAGCTGGCAAAATTTTTTTTCCCCAGTCTGTAGGTTGTCTTTCCACTCTGTTGGTGATTTCCTTTGCTGTGCAGAAGCTTTTTAATTTGATGTTATCTCATTTGTTGATTCCTGGTATTATTTCTTGTGCAACCAGGGTTCTGTTCAGAAAGACTTTGCCTACACCTATGTCTTCAAGAGTTTTACTTATTTTGTCTTCCAGCAGAGTAAGGATTTCTGTTTTAACATTTAGATTTTTGATCCATTTGGATTTTAATTTAGAACATGGTGAGAGATACAGGTCTAGGTCCAATCTTTGGTTTGTAGATAGCCAGTCATTCCCAGCACCATTTGTTAAATAAATTATCTTTCTTCCAGTGAAGGAGTTTGGCCCCTTTGTCAAAGATAATGTAGCTGAGTGTGCTTGGAGTTGTTTCTGCATCCTCTGTTCTGTTACAGCGATCCACAAATCTGTTTTTTTTGCCAATGCCATGTTTTTATCACTGTAGCTTTGTAGTATATATAACTTGAAGCCCGAGATTGTGGCATCCTCTGCTTTGTCCTTGTTGCCTAGAATTGCTTTTATTATTTTAATCTTTTTACTGGATTTAGGTTTAGCAGGCTAAGCTAATCATACTTCTCAGCATATGGAACACCAGTGTCTTTTGTTTGTACTTGGCCCCTGTCTTGTTAATTAACTAATTACTTACCTAATTACTTTTTTTTTTCAACAATTTGTTTTTGTACCAGGGATTGAACTCAGGTTTGCAAGACAGGTGGCGGAACCAGTGAGCTAAATCCCCAGCCCCCCAACTCTCTTTTTTCCCTACCTGCCACTCACACTTCCCTTCCTCTACATAGGCAATCATTGCAAATATATCTAATGTTTATCTTGTTATTTGTATGTGTACCTCTATTTGTAAAATGTATTGTTCATACACGTCTCACTCTGATTTGTACTTTTTTCACTCTGCACTCTTTTCAAGGGTGATCCTTGTCCCTGTGTGTATGTACTCCATTGCCTGGAAATGCTGTATAATACTCCATTAGTGCATTTCTGTTTTGCTCATCTGCGCCCCCTAGTGGAAACTGTGATGGCCTCCAACCATGTGCATGTATTTTCACTTGAGACACGTGATGGTCCTAGGTGAGGATTTCCCTGTGATACAGACTCAGACTTGGCTGAGTCTAAAATAGATGCTGTGAATAAGCAGCACTCAAATCGATTTCCAGAAAGTCTGCACTAGTCTATCCTACCAGGAACTGTTCACACTTAACTGGAGATGGGGTCTTGAGCACATTAAGTAACTTGTCCAAGTTTACACAGGCAGTAAAAGTGAATTAGGACAAGAGCCTAAATCCAGGTCTTCTAACTTCACAGCCTTTTTATCTTTAGGCCATCACTTTTTAAGTCTATGCATCGGGATACTGAACATTAATATAAAGATTTCTTAATGCGTTCATTATTTAGAGAATGCCTTGAATTCCAAAAGTGCCCTGTGGTGCCATTGGCAAGTTGTAGGCAGAAGAAAGTCTGAGGTGGTAGGTAGCTCATATTCTATGATCCAGAATCCTATCATTCAATTCAACCTGTTCTGAGTCCTTTTTGGTTGCTTTTCTACAGTTGCTACACTGTTTTGGAAAGTTGTTTTTTTTTGTTTTGTTTTGTTTTGTTTTGAGACAGGGTCTCACTGTGTAGTTGAGACTGACCTGGAACTCACTATGTAGCCCAGGTTGGTCTCGAACTCATAGCAATCCTCCTGCCTCAGCCTCCTGAGTGCTGGGATTACAGTCGCGCACCACCATACCCGGCTGTTTTGGAAAGTATTTTAAAAAGAAGAGTATTTAACATCCTTGTCCTGGCTAGGTGTAGGGGTACACACCTGTAATCCCAGCACTCAGGAGGCTAAGGCAGAAAGATTGCCATGAGTTTGAGGCCAGCCTGGGCTACATAATGAGTTCAAGGCCAGGCTGAACTATAGAGTGAGACCCTGTCTCAAAATGAAACAAAACAAAGAAACCCCCAACAACTTTGTCCTGCCAATTGCCTGGGCCAGAATGTTGTGCCTCTATGCTTTTCTGACTTGAAAGTGAGAGAGGAGTCATAGAGTCATATACTGTTATAAACAGAACAGGCCTTAGAGATTGTTCAGTCCAACTCTCCCATTTTATACGTGAGGAAGTAGAGATCCAGAGAGAGGAAGCCACTTGCTTGGGGTCACAGAACTAGCCTCAGAACAGGACAGGAAACTGGTTTCCTAAAAAACAAAAACAAAAACAAAGCAGTCCCTTGCATTTCTTGCCTTTTCCACTTCTCTGTGCCTAGCAGCTTTTCTCTGTCTACCTGGGGATCCACATTTTAAATCTCACAAGATTTGTAGGTGAGCTGTAACAGTGGTGCTCCAGTGGTCCACATGTCCAGCAGTCACCTCTCTGGGTGTGTTTGCTTGGGGAGGGGACTATATCTGTAGCACTTGTCAGTTTCCATTGGATAAATACTCCCACGATGGCCAATTTCAAGCTGCTTAAGTGTTGTCCATGACAGTGGAGTTGAGCCATCTGGGGCCCAGCAGTAGGTATTTTCACTTCCTTGGTGCAAAAAACAAAGATAGCTGACAGAGCATACGTGGCAGTAAAATCAGATACTGTTATAACCAGAACAGGCCTTGGAGATCGTTCAGTCCAACTCTCCCATTTTATAGATGAAGAAGTGAATGCCCAGAGAGAAGTGATTAGTCCCAAGCACTTATTACCTTTGTTTTTACTACAATTTATTTGATGGTAAATTTACCAAATGTAATATTTAATAAAAATCGTGTTTAGGGATTTAGCTCAGCAGGCCCATCGCCTGCCTGGCAAGCTTGGGGTCCTGAGTTCAAACCCTGTGCCCAAACAAGCAAGAGCTGTGTTTGTCACTAGCTTGTCAGCTCCAATGCATCACACACATTAGTCTGGCTTCCTGGTTTGCACATTTGATTCTATTGAATACTTCATAGTGGAAACATGAAATATGAATATAGTGGGACAAAAAACAGAGGATAAATGAGTTATTCTGGTGATACATTTTATGTATAGCCAAAGTCTTAGCCCTTTAAGCCCTTAACAATAAAAGTTTTAACTCTTAGGGATGAACTTTTAGAAGAATTGTATTGTATTCATTATAAGAGACATTATAACTTATTACCTTTTTTCCCCTTGACAACTCAAGAAGAGTTTAAGTTTTAGTTCTTGTAGCATCTCTGGAGAGGAGTTACTCTCAGATTCCTTGGTTCTGGATCAGTGCATATTGCTACAATAATAAAGTAACTGTTGTATAAAGGTATTGTACATCACCATGCATAAATTAATTATAGAAGATGGGAAAAAGTATCTCTGGGTGAGGAGTACAGAAAACGGAGAAGCCTTGGGCCCTGTATTGCAGGACCCCAAAATGCTTTTGGAAGAGGAATTGTTTCATCTGGTGAGCTTTGCTAAGGATGGTAGGAATTAAGTCTTAAAGTTGGGGCATGTCTCTCAGCTCTAAAGAGGTTCATTGACTCTTCAGTACACGGGCAGTCAGTGAAAAGAGAAGTAGCTCTAGTGCTTGAAATTTTTCCCTGCCTGGGAAAATTTTTCCTCTACACACTTGTCTATCCCCAGGGGTGCTGCTTTGCTGGGCTGGGAAAGGAAGTAGTCTGTACCTGGCCACCTGACACTACTCTTCTGCCATGACATTGGGACCACCAACAAAGCTACCTTTGTTCCACTCTTGTCACCAAGAAGGCCGCATTGCATTATTGTTCCTTTGCTTTCAAAGAGGAAGGAGGTTTTCTATACTTCTGTTTTCTTGTCAAAGTGCCGGAAAAATAGCCTCAGGTGTGGATTGAGGAGACAGTCTCTTCCATGCAGAAAAGGGACACCCCACCGGATTCCCAATATCTCCCTCTGCAGTACACTTCTCATTCCTTTGGAGCTCTGAGGCTTTTGGGAATTCTCAAGTCTAATTGGGAAGCCTCCTTATGCTTCCTTTTTCTCATTCCTTATTGTCTCCTTGTGGAGATTTGTGGGCTGAGCTATGGCACAGAGGAGGGCCCAGGGCTGGGGTTGCTGTAAAAAGGGCAGTTGCACAGGACAAACTTCCTTTTCTGCTTTGGCCCCTGCCTTGGTCAGGATGCTGCTGATATCATCTGAGCAACTTCTGTGAAGTCTTTGGAGCTGGTGTCACCCCACGTAGGGGAGCAGGGAGCCCAGTAGAGAGGGCTGGCTTCTCCACCTGGGTGGACTAATTAACAAGTTGGGTCCTTTCCAGCTCCTCTCCTGGCTCTCAGGGGGCTGGGCTTCACTGGGGGTGGGCAGACAGTCTTACTTTAAGCAGCCTATTGATCCTCACGTGGTCCTGGTGCCCCTCTTGGGGGAGCACTCTCATGTTTTAAGTGCATGCAGTTACTCTCTTGACTGGCTTGTAAACAGGTTTTAATGGGGCTATTAGTGTAAAAGGACAGGAAACTTTCAAAAACAGCCTCTTAAATATTCATGAGGATGTTAAATCTGGCGCTTAATCACCAGTGTTTGCACACAGCTAACTGGGAGGGAGGACAGCTAACAGGCTGCCTTCACTCTGAGCAATTGACAGGGCATTAATAAACGCTCTTAGAGGCATGATTAATGACTAAGAGAATAGGACTTTTT